CCCCAAAACCCCAAAACCCCAAAACCCCTTGTTGGGGGTTATTTGTAGAAAATTAGTTACGGTTTGTGTAAATATGGAGGATGTAAGCGAGTTTGGCTGTTAGATATAATTTTAGATGTCATTTAGACATTTAATGAGCTTGATGTCATTCTAAACACTAAGAGTTGAACTGATCCAAATATTTGCTACCTTTTCTTAAATGGTTATCTAATCTTGCCATTATAGAGTTTATATGCACGAATTAAATCAAGGAACATTCAGATGCTATCAGCTAAAACTATTGGACAGGTTAACGATCCTCAATTACTACTTGGTAGTAAAGGAAAGAACAACTTATTTGAACTGAATAGGCAAAAATTTTACCAAATCTTCAAAAAGCACAGTTGGAAAAATATTGATGGGAATAAGATAGTGACTTATAAAGAATTTGTAAAGATACTGAAGCTGTTAGATATATTTCCCAGATTCATCTCTAACTACCAGTTGAAATCAATCCTGGTAGCTCTTTCCGAGAGTCCTGGATCTAACTCAACGTACAAGACTGTTGAAGTAGAGCCAAGGAGTACTTTCGGACACAAAAAATCCATCCCGAAAGAGTCTGTCCCAGAATACGTAGGATTTAAGGCTCTTGAAATAATTGTTTGCAAGTACATCAAGAAGTGAATCCATTCAATGAATGTTGGGGCACAGGAGAATTATGGTATATCCTTGTTCACGAAGAAGACTAAGGTCTTCCACCATTCGAGATCACAGATGAAACTACGAGTCGAACCTCAATATTTGAAATATATCTATGAGTCGAGGAAGAGAGTTATGGTAGATAGAAAAGAGAGTTTGAAGAGAGAACATCTCCAGGGAAGCAAGCTTAACCTAGAAATCCCCACTGCCAATACCTTTTCATTCTGTGAGAATAAGGATATTGACCAGTCAAAGCAAGTTGTAATGAAGGCTGGAAGTCTTAAATTAAAGAAGAACAATACTGAGAAGCCTAAGAAGAAGACTGAGACTACTGATAAGATTTTAGGAACAAATTATTCAACTAAATTTATGAAACAACATTCAGCCAAGACTCCTCAAGCAAGGACGAAGAATTTAAAAATAGCTCCTTCAGTTGTGCCTGATGTGAACAAGGATAGTTGGTTCTCGACTCCTAAATAAATCAGATACATCAGAAGAGAACTCTTCAACACTGATAATTTCGTGCTCATCAGGTATGCAGAAATCTAGAAAGAAATCTCTGAAGGATCTTCTAAGTGGCAAGATTAAGTTTAAGAGACATTCAAAATATTTCACAAAAGGTGAAAGTTCTATTTCTAAGACATCAACCAGCTATTGCCAAGATGCTACTGAAATTAGTTCCTATAAGTCTCCTGATCAGAACAACAGCGTTCTGTGTAAGTAATTCGTTAGGAGTCATTGAAGAGGAGATTAGGTCTTTCCAGCCATATTGGAAAATTAGCCAATCCAAAGGAAGGAAGAAAGAGAAAAGACGAAATAATGATCCTCACAAGGAAAATAATAATAAGACATCCGATGTAAAGAAAGAATGAAGAGGGATTATCAGCAATAGTAAAGGTAAGGCTTTTTGAGAGTATATATGCTAACAATTTTGGTAATCAAGATCATCAGCATAATTTTCCCCTCAAAATGTTCACTCACAGCCTCACACTCTTATCTAGCACACCACAAAAGCCAGGGTCCTTCCTTGTCTATGAGCACAACCTTGGGTCCTAAACAAAGGGAGTTAATGAACGCTTTGTTATTTTTGAGGAAGAATACCTCAAAATAATTTTTCAATATAGTCTAATGTTATTGGGGTTTTGGGGTTTTGGGGTTTTGGGGTTTTGGGGTTTTGGGG